TTTATTAAAAATACCCAAACAAGTGTCCATCAGTACATATTTATTAATTGAAGGAGAAGTAAGGACACAGTTTTGTCATCATTTATTATTCTAAAATGTGTCCAAACAGAACACTTCGTATTCTGTCTGCATGTTTGTATCCTGACCCAACATTCGACCCATATGAGGCCCTGCACTCTAATCTTCCCTATCAGGTTTTTCTCTGTTGCTTTCCAATATCATTCACGCTACACACATTCCTTCCCTGCAGTACATAAATCTTTTTCTTGTCTGTACAAAAGAGGCTTGTGTAATTATACACCTCACACCCAAACCATATTTCCCTCCTATTCTATTCTATTGAAAGATAGTCGTTTCTTAGATGGAGGTTCTGCAAAATATTTTGGTGCACTCTGTTGATAATGCTGTACTTTTAACTTTGTTAATTTATTTTAAAGGAAATGTTTTAAGGCTATGTTTTGCCACTTTTATTTAAATTATCTAGTGTTCTTTAGTCCTTATGTCTGATTTCAGTGCTCAATGAAGGTTCTACTTCATATGAAGAAAGGTGGCAGAATCCAGCATTTTGCAACAACACTTGGAAATTAATTCATAAGTACAAGCCAGGTTCTAATAACCTTTACTCACCCTGGGTAGTGTATTACTTTGAAAACAAATGTAAGAAAATGCTTATTTTAAGTATTTTTAGATACTTTGCTCTTTCTGAAAATTAGTTAAATTATTTTTTTTCTTCTCCCCTCCTATGCTGTTCTTCCCTCTCTCCCCCTCATTTTCCAGCATATGCTTCCCTGCTTTGGATTGTTTCTTCTGTCTTCTTCACGTCCTAGCTGACTGCTTGTTCATCTAGTCATGTTGATCAGCTGCCTAGTTCTTCCTTTCTTTTACACTTGCGCACATTTCTGTTCTGTTACCAGCAGCTCCCACTGTGTCCGTGACCTGTCATATTGCTGCTCGCCCTTATTTCTGTGGATGGCTTTTCTTTCCTTTTCATTTTAGATGATAGTGGTCACCAAGAGTCCAGTCCAGTTCCCATGGAAATCAGGAATTTTTTTTATTGTCTTCCTTTGGAACAGTCTCATACGGTAATGGTGGCAGGTAGGCTAGGATACATGCATAGGTAGTTGGCAGCAAAGAAAAGTTTATTCTTCCAATAACAGTAATACTCCATGGACCAGAATTTGAGTGCTGCTGAAACTGGAATGAACAAGCAGTGACTTTAATAAACAGTATTTTTTCCTTCTCTTCTAAAATTTGATGTGTGTCATAAAGTGGCTGAGTCTGTTCAAATCCCAAACTGAATGGAGGTCTGATGCCATACAACCTACCAACCCTTAGACAATAAGCAGCTTATGGACTGGGGTATATTCCCAGGACTTATGCTGATGCTTTGGAAGGGAGAGTTGGTGATTTGGTTGTGTTTTTCCTTCTGACTCATCAGTATGAAACCAATAGCTTAGCTTGAGGTCCTGGCAGGCTCTGAGTGGGTACATCACAGGGTTACAAACCTTGGATTACTTCCATTTGTGGCCACATGCAGATTCTCTAAGGATTAAGCAAAAGAGAATTTTATACAGGTAGTGAGTTTAAGAAATGTCTGAAAGTGTGAAGTAGGAACTGTATATAGTAAAAAAAAAATTATGTATTTTAGCTGCTGCTACTCCTATAGTATCTAAAATGCAACCCATATCCTGTCTGTGTAATATCTGGAATATATTTTAAATGAAATTTTCCCACTTTACATTTCTTCATAGTTAATTAAAAATGGTTAATTTCCCTCCATGCCTGTCACAAAGGACAAAGCTAACATTTCGCTTGCAAAGAAAAGTGATATATGGCTCTACCTCTACTCTTGATATTTTCAAGAGGCCAGTGTTTAAAAAAAGCCCCTATCTGGAATATGCTCTATTATTGCCCTTTCTAGGCATTGTCGCATAAAGCCTTAAAGGTTCTGGTGCTAAATTCCCAAGGCAGCATTCTGATACATGCCAGATGTTCACTCAGGGGAGAGATAAATGTTTAATATTTTTTGCTATTGTTACTGTTTTTACAATGTGTTATACTGCCATGGCTTGCTAAGACTAAAACTCTGTTTTGCTGAAGGAACGGGCATGTAATGAGCGAGATGTTTGCATCTACATCATCTTTGTTTTTGCTGACAGTATTTCTGTTTGAAGCATAGCATTCTGATTGAGGTTTTCAAAGCTGACTAAGGGATTTAGCCACACAACTCACACTTCAGCTTAAGGAAGGTAGGTAGCTAAATTCTCTTGTCAACTGTGAAAGTCGCAAACTTTACTTGACTTGAGGAGCAATTGCTAACTTATATACAATGAATTTCAATAGCAAGCATCAATAAAAAACAGTTTAGGAAATCACTTTTTTTCCCTGGAAGCAAGGGTAGCAAATGATTCCATTTGGCCATATTATTTGTGCCATTTTACCTCTCAATGTCTATGATTAGAGTAAGCACATATCCTTTTAAATTAGAGATGAGCCAAAATTTAGAAATTTTAATAGTGTATAATGTGGGAATTGGTCCAACAGACTAAATATACCCTCTTGTAACTCTGATAATGCCAGCTGAATTACTGCAGGGATTAATTGGGGACTAGCACACGTTAACTGGATTCATGGGAAATGACAGAGGCGGAATATATTTTCCCCATGAAAATGGGAGTCATTCAGATAAATTCCTAATGCTAAGTGTTTAGTGTGCACTCCAGGGCACAAAGCATGAGTTATTCTAGGTGAAAACTGAAAGACATTCTTTCTTGATCTTCTGAACTGTTTTTTCTGGACTAATGAGTTATCTTTCTACTTCCTTCATGTAGTAAATTATATTTCAGTGCTAGCTGTTATATTGTCTCTGTCTTTTCCTTGGTCTCCCTTGTATTGTGCATCAGTGCAGAGACAGACATATTTGGTTTATGTCACCAAACTATATAGTGGTTGCAATGGTGAAAGCTACATAGGACTGCACATAGGCAAAGCATAACCTAGAAAAGTTCACAGTGATAGGAACAACTTTCTAGAGGAAAGAGAACTTGCCTTTTATCTATGAAGGGCAAGTAAGGTAATGCAAAAACTAAGGATCCATCTAATTTAAGAAGCGTGTTTGCTGAGCTCTTTCTCTCATGCATATGCACTCCTTCACTTATTCACCTTCCTTCACTGCATTTTGTTAATGAAGTGAAATAGGAAATAGTCTTGCCAGTTCTTCCTTGTCCAGAACTAGTAATTGTTTCTACATATTGTAGACTATTTCTATGCTACAGGTCCTCACTTTTTTTACTCACCTAAGGCTTACTCATCTGAGTAAGTGGCAGAGTTGGACACATACTATGAATTGAACAGGAATGAATAAGAGTCTGGAGAGTCATCCTTGGTCCCTATATAGATATGCTGTGAAAAAAAAAATCTTATTCTATGGAAAAGAGTATTACCTTGAAAGAAGCTATTGGCAAGAGAATATACTGCTATTTTCAAGGTGTAAAGAGCATCACTGTTATTTTATATACTGGTATTCAGTTGATGGGACTGAGGATCTCATTCTTACAGAAAGCAGTTAGCACTCTGTGTTAGCTATGGTGCAGCATCCTTCTCAATACACACATTAGCCTCAGAAAATACTGAGAATGTTGCAGTTTCAAAGTTTTCATTGTGCAAAAGGTTAGCTTTTACATGGACTAATTACAATGGCTAAGTGTTGTGTCTTTATGAGAAGAGTATGTCCTAGTTCAGAACCTGAGCTAAGCAGATAAATCTGTTTTTTCTTTGTGTCTATTTGATGAGTGACTATATCAGACATAACAAAATGATCTTGTTGCCAAGTACCAACTGGTGAAATTCTGATGAAATGCTCATTGAAGTCATTTATCAGGATTTGTTTAGCTTCAACAAATAAAATATGTAAGTTCTGTTTGAATGGCATAACATATCTACAGGGAAATATTTGTTTAATCAATCTAGTCAAGTCAAAATTCTGACTGTAGATAATGTAGAGAAAGGAGGTACTGTACTGGTTCTCAGTTGTAGTTGGTCAGTAATTTCAGGTAAGTTATATTGTCATCTTTGGTCCAGTTGTACTTCTTTTTTCAAGATCATATTCTATCCCAGAAAATATGCTTTATAGCCCCTGTTAGGGACTGTTTAGCTCTTTTCTAGAAAATGCCGATGCTTACCATCATATAGCAAAAACCAGCATAAGTTGCAGAGTAATTCAGAAGTTTAAGTTTCTCTTACAAGTACGAGAACCCTGCTTTAGATGCCACTGTCTGCCCCTTCCTGTTGGTGAGTAAATGGCAAAGAAAGGAGGCAAGTCACCTTCGGGGGGTGTAGGCTGAAGCATACAGGTGGCATAAGACAGTCTGTGCCAACCTAAACTACTGTAGAGAAGCAAGAAACCCTCCTTATCAGTCTGGCAAACTCTATTATATTGAGTAGTTTGGAGAGGAAAGGTTGCTGCTCTCTTGATAGAAATTGCCAGTGTACATTCATTCAGTTTCTCTTTCCAGGAAAAGGATCTTCCAGACTGACACTTGGAAGATCTTCCCTGTGAGAGAGTCTTTCTCTTGCTAAAATAAGTACCTATACATTTGGTTCCTTCATGATCAAACAGAGCGGAGGCTTCCCTTGTGCATCCCCAGACTAGGGTCACTTCAACCTCAGGAAGCATCACCTCACTGCTTCCTCTTGTCCAGGATGCAGCACAAGGCTGTCTCAGAGTCTGGGACAAAGTTTTCCTCCCATCAGATTGACAGGATCAAGTTGGAGAGCTCCAAGGCCAAACCCAATTACTAGGGCTGTGTGAAGCTTTGGTAGCTGATTCAGTTTGGAGGAGATTCGGCCCGATTTGGGGACCGAATCTCTGAATCTGAATCTAACCAGGAGACCAAGTAAAAGCTCTGAATCCATTCAAAACATCCAAATCAATTTGGAAAAACTTGATAAAAGATTTGGCTGATTTGGAGATTCAGCTATAAACTAAACAGGCAGCTGACAGCTGCCTGCAGGTGGTATGTCTGTTGGGGTTGGGGGAGGGAAGGGGTGTGGGGAGGGATTGGGGCTGGTGCTGGGACAAGCTGCACAGCTAGAGCAGGGGGCATGTTACTCAGGGATGGTGGCAGGGAGTGCGGGATGCGGGCGTGGCAGCACAGGGAGTGGGGTCTCTGTCCTGCTGCCACTTGCTGAGCTGGGAGAGAGGTGGGAGGTGGGATGTGGGTGCAGCTCACTCCAGGCAGAAAGAAGCAAGTGGCAGCAGGGCGTAACCCCCACTCCCAGCACTGCCGCACCTACATCCTGTGCCCCTCCATGCCACCTAGCAAGCGGTGGCAGGACAGAGCCCCCACTCCCAGCACTGATGTGGGTGTGGCAGTGCTGGGAGTGGGAGCTATGTCCTGGTGCTGTCTGGAGTGAGCTGCACCTGTATCACACTCCCTTCCCCCCCACCGCCCTGTGCTGGCTGGGCAAGCGGCAGCAGGGTAGAGCCCCTATGACTCCCCCTGCCAGGGAAGAGGCAGAAACAGCCAGGGGAGCTGCGGGAGAAGCCCCAGTGGCTGTGCTGCCTGGCCCATCCCCTGCCTGGCCCCAGCCCAATCCTGGCACTTTGAAAAAAAAAGCAAAAAAAAGAAAAAGCCCCACACTCACCAGCTCTGGCAATGGCAATTGGGGGGCTCTGCCATGAGTGCCCAGAGGGGCAGCACAGGGCAGTGGGGATCGCCCCTCCACCTGGCACCCATGCAGCAGCTGCCCCATGGCGTGGGTGCAGTGTGGCTCGACAGGGCACCACGCACTGTCCCGGAGCTGGGGCGGCTCCACCTGTCAGCTGGAACTCCTGGTTTGATTCCCCAGCTCCCTGATCATTCCCCCAGCTCTTCCCAGGGGGCACAGCCCCCAGATCTGTGTGCTGGCTTTCAGCAGGCTGCTGCTGTCATCCGCCTAAATAGCCCAGAGCCACCACCATCACCAGCTGGCAGCAGCCTACTGTCATTGCGCATCACCTTTTTTCAAGTGCTGGGACTAGGCTGAGGCTGGGCAGGGGATGGGGCCAGGCAGGGCAGCCATGGGGGCTTCTCCTGCCACTCCCCTCACCCAGGGAGAGGCAGGCACAGCCAGAGGAGCTGTGGGAGAACCTGCGGCCGCCCAGCTGTGCCTGCCTCTCCCCAGCTGATCCGAATCAGCACCTAATCTTCCAAAGCTGATTCTGCTGAATCGATTAAGGAGAGTGATCTGAATCTCCAAATTGAATCACTGTCCTCCAAATTGGCCAAATCCGAGTCACATACTTCCCTATTCGCACAGGCCTACCAATTACCCCTTTCCCTATCCCAGGAGGTAGCCCCAGGTCTCGGGTCCAGGATACTGGGCACCTCTTTAATGGAATGGGGGATGTGGGAGCATCCTCTACCCCCAACTGCATGTGCCCCTTTAAAGAAGGACTCTGTGAGCTGCTGGAAATTTGGGATCAGTATAAGCATCAGGAGTCTCTTGCCGGTTTCCTCATGCTGTCTAGGAAACTTAAAAGAAGCAGGTGGGTTTTCAGCTAGGGCTCTCAACTGCTTGACTGCTTATTAAAGGTCTGGGCAACTATGAGCCCAAAATTGGGAAAAGGTTCCCTGATGCCAGGCTCATGCAACCCAGCCTTTAAAAAGGCATCAGTCTGGTGGCACTGTTTCACTACTCCTTTACTTTCCCATCTGGGAAAAGGCATGCAGACTTTCCCTGCCACTGTACTAACCCCAGGGACTGGGAGGAATGGAGCAGCAGCTGATCTCCATGCCATACCCAAACTGGATCACTCAAGTAGGGGAGAGGGACAGCTGCAAAAGATGGAACCCCTGTGCACTCTCCCCCAGAAGGAACCATCTCTGTTACCTGAAATGTGCCCCCAGTTTTGGGACCCGATTAATGATTAAGGTCTGAAGACTAATGCTTGGAGCATCTAGATCAGTGGTTCTCAACGTTTTTATATCTGAGATCTAAAACGGAAAATGCCAGTTCTTAGTTTTCACTCATTTTTTTACTTTGGAAAAATACTAGAGAAATTCTTCTGTTGCAAAGAATTCAGAAAGCATATAATGGGTCAGAATGCTTTGAATGCTATCGATTCCTATTTGAAATCTCGGGGTTTATCTTGTGAATCATGTTTGCACATTTAACTGTGTTAACATTATGTGGCACCCCCACAGCACCCTTGAGGATCACATGGCACCCTGGGTGAGAATCGCTGCACTAGATTGATTGTTTTGGAGCTCTTGTGCCCAAGAAAATGGTAAACATCTAGGGATGAGGTGGAGATTAGGTTACCCTCTAAAGGTAAATTCATTGGTACCACCATCTTGTTGTTGTTCTTTGTTGGGGGGTTTTTGGGGGGAGTTATATTGTTTTTTGTACAGTATATTTTATCATAGAACTCGGGTCGGAAGGGACCTTATAGATCTTCAAGTCCGACCCCCTGCCTGGGCAGGAGAAAAGCTGGACTCAGATGATTCCAGCCAGGTAGGCATCAAGCCTTCTCTTAAAGACCCCCAGGGTAGGAGCCAGCACCACTTCCCTTGGAAGTTTGTTCCAGATCCTAGCCGCCCTGACTATGAAGTAGTTCTTACGGAGTGAAGTAGTTCTTATAAAATGGTTACTTCTGATTTTATGAACTACAAATCAATTCATATTGTCTTGTTAAATGATTGACAATGCTATAATGTATAGAAGTCCTGTGGTATAGATGTCTGCTAAGAGTACACATATGAGATGACCTACCTTATACTTGCTCTAAAAGGATTTAATAGTTATACTACGTAATTCATATTAATTATTTATTGATAATTTATTAATTATTAATACATCATAATAACCTTTGGATACAGAGTGACTGTAAGGTACTGTTGGTCAGCACAACGAGGCTGTTTCAACTATGGCTGGCCATGTTCAGAACATGAAAATAATTTGAATTTTAGAGGGATTTGTTTTTTTCAGTTTCTGAATTGTGTATGTGTGTCTACAAATATGCACAGAGATAGTTGTGTATACACACAGTGCACACATATACATATGCACACACATGCATGTTTGAGAGAGAGGGAGGTCTACAGTAGAGTGTGTTTTAGAGCTATATAAATGGGTTGTGTTCTTAACACACCTTCTCCTGATTACTGGTAAAAACTAATTAGGTTTTGTCAGTTATTCACTTAGAGTTTTGTCTTATTGAAACCTTGCTACTCTATTTAACCTACTTCTACTCTGCAAATATCTGCTGCCATGTTATGTTATGCTTTTTTGCTTAAATTAACTCCTGAATAATACAGCATAGCACATACAGGAGAATGAAAAGTTTTCACATTTTTAATACAAGACTGATTTTATTATATTACTGGAGAAATAACTTAGATTGCTCTTGCAGTCTCAATAAATCACACATGAAGTCTTCTTTTTTTTCTAAATTAAATTTTTATTTAAATAAAAGTGTTATGTTTGTATTTGAACTGACAGCTAAATCTGATAATTAGAGTGCATGAAGTTGGCTTTGATTGGCATTGTAATTGGATTGTCATTGGGCTGAAAACCTATTATCTTTGGATCATGCCCCATGAAATCTGTTGAAGAAACTTTGCTGCCAGTCATTAAAGCCACCATCTTGGCTTACAAATTAGGTTTGAAAGGCTTTTTACCACTGGGAATGTAATTTAAGCCACTGCAATTGCACTCCCATTAATTAAAATTATATTAAAATTATGGTTCATTTTCTAAATATTTTTTTCATATTTTATTAGACATACTTATTACTAAATGCTTAACAAATTACATAGCAGAGCTAGTAAAAATTGTATTTTAAGATAATCCATCATTTTGGCACATGCTACTCAGCATCAGTGGAATTAGTCAGTGTGTTGATCATTAAAGGATCTACTATTTATGTTTTTCATTACCAGTTTTCATTAAAAATATCATTTAATTATAACATGGAATATTTAAAAAATACAGAACGTTTACAGTCAAAATTACAATTAACATCTGTGGAAAAGAAATGTGGACAGAGCCCACTTTCAAGTGGACATACTTCATTAACATCTTAATTATGTCTTATATATGTTTTAATGCAATATTAAAATGTTTTAGGTTATATAGGGAAAAAATGCCCCCCCCAAAAACCCTGTACATTTTTTTTGTCTTATACACATTGACATTTACTTGGAGATTAAGCTGACAGGAAAAATACTAGACTGTAATATATATAGCACTATATACCATGAGAATTCAGCAAGGATGGCTTTTTAAACTACTACACATTTTTAGTGGTCTTTTGCACGTTTTAGGAACAAATGCCATTATCATGGGCTAAATACAGAAGTTCAAAGAGCCTGAGGTGGAACTGATTCAGTATTCTCTGTGGGGGATGGTGCTGCGTAGGGGGTGTGCTCCCCCAAAGCCCTGCCTCTCAGAGCGGTAGACAGCTGGGAAGAGGGTAGGGCTGGGGCAATCCCAGCCTGACTTCCTGGGCTGCAGCACTGTGAAAATCCCCCACCATGGGGGCTTTCCATCTCCTTGCACTGTAGAGATGCAGGCTAGGGGAGTCTGGGGGTCCAGTCCCCTGCCCCCCATCCTGCCAGGTAGGAAGCAGGCTAAGGAGCAGATGCTTTACTGCCTCAGCTCAGTGACAGCTGGGAGTGGGACCAGCCCCGCTCTGCTGGGCAGACAGCACAGTTCAGGGTTGCAAAGTATCGTGGGATGCTGGGGACTGTGAGTTAACTTGAGTCAGGAGTGGATCTGGGAGAGAAGTTCCATAAACAGGTTTAACCTAAATCCATTAAGTCTGATACTACATCCATCCAGGTTTATCTTAAACTGGATTCAGCCATTTTGAAAGTGGTTTATGTGCACTGAATTTCTGTTCTGTTACATGCTTAAACTAGTTTTTGATAACTTAAACCAGTTTATGTATAACTTCTGTCCCTAGCCACAGAGGAATTTAGTAGCAGCACATCAGTGGATCCATGCAGTGGGTCCCAGAAATTTGTGACAAGTAACTCCTTTCATTTGTGGATGAGAGGTGGGGATTTTTTAAGGTGATATATTTTATTGGACCAGCTGTAAAGTTGGGATAGAATTAGACAAGCTGTTCTTCAGATCTGAAGAAAGTCTTACATTTGAGAGCTTAATGAGCTTAACAAGCTTTCAAATGCAAGACTTGCTTCTTCAGACCTGAAGAAGAATTTATCTAATTCTTTCCCAGCTATATAGTTGGTCCAGTAAAAGATATCAGGCTAAGAAATCCTTGCCTGTCACACAATTTTTGGACTATCATGGCTACAACATCAATGAAATACTTCATGTTGCAAGGAAGTTCATCCCAGCTCAGAAGACGTACTTGTGGCCAAGGTACCAAATAACCTTTAACATGTGTGATTTAAGTGATTCATAATTTTTGTAATGGCCAACTGCACTGAAGTGAACTTCCATGTCAGAGTCCTCAATTCTGGGGAGACTGACAATTTTTGCTTGTCCTCTTCCACATGCATAGTATATGAGACTGCTAATGGGATTTAGTGTTGTGAGTTTGGGTATTACTCCAGTAGTATGTAGTTCTCAGCTGATATAGTATCTTCCACTGCTGAGATGCCTCTGTGGTTAGAAGGAATAAGTGAGGAGTAAAGAAAAAGTAAAACTTGCCAAACAACCTGACAAGGTGCCTTGTTTTCTCTAGGTCATCAAGTTAATGTGCTGCCTTTGGGTCACTACTGGAAGATTCTTTACTCAGAAGAATTGTAGCATTGGGACACACTGTCTTTTACTAACTACCCTTTCCCCCTTCTTGTTATTGTGAGCTGCCTATTTGTCAGTGCTACATTAGATAACCATATCTTCCTTTGTGTGGGGGCAAATGCCAACTCCACTAAAAACATTTTCCTTATATAGGAGCCCCTCATTAAAAAGAAAAGGCTCATCTGAGCATAACACATGGATGATTTGCATGTTCTGCTCACTCCCTGGTCATTTTTGGTTTGAATTCACAGTCCTGGTCCTAATCTATATCTTAAAAATTTTGGGTATGCTTATTTCACCTCACTATACATGACAGCTGGACAGTACAGTGTGACAGGAATGGAGGGCAGGACATCCGATGGCAGGATCCTAATGGTGGCATTCCTTGACATGGTAAATAAGATTGAGCTCTGGCCTCATTATATCCAGCTCAGGATGTAAGACCTATTTCTTGGCTAAAGCATTCCTCCAATATGAATGCTATGCAAAACCTCCAACTGAGTGGTAGAGGGCAAAAAGAATGATGTAGGAGGGGAAAGAGAGGGAAATCACAAGAAGATCAAATCAGAGGATGCTGAAAAATAATATATGGAATATGCATAGATACCACACTAAAATACCTTAGATCAGTGGTGCTCAATTTATGGCCCACAGGTCAGATGCAGCCCCCCAAGTGACTGGATATGACTTCAGAACAGGGGGTCAGAAGTAAGCAGCTCAGCCTGGTGGGTCCCCTGCCCTGTGCTGCTAATCCCCTCTTCAGCTATCTTCCTCCCTCCCCTCCCATCTCCTCTGTATCCCATGTTTCCTCCAGTCCTTTTCCTCCCCTCTGCTCCTGCCTTCCCCTACTGGAGGGGAGTGGTGGCCCACATTTCAGTCAGGTCAGAAGCACCTAGCCTACCACTCTATAAAGTCGAGCTCCACTGCCTTAGAGCAGACCCGGTGTGCTCTATTTTTTCATATGGGTGCCCCTTGTCACATAACAATATTGGAGAAGAAGGGTGGCTGTGACCCCCAAGCACAGAAAGGGTGGTCATATTAATCAGTGACTATATAAAAATGCTTCAGGAAGTTTGTATTTAATACTCCAATATGCTCTTTTGAGTTTTTAAAAATTTGACTTGACAAAAAATACCTATTAATAACCCCCCTTTTAAAAATAATTGTTTTCCTATGCTCTATATTCTAACTTCCTACACAGGTCCTTCATGGACAGGTTCAGCCTGTGAAAAGAGCCAAGTGCTATTGCTTCCTCTCTGATAAAAGATATGGGGTATTGCAGGGCTAACAGATCTTTTGTAAAAATTAAATCCATTCTCAAGATACTCTCAGCCCTAGACCCTTCCCCTTTAGATATCCTATACCCTCCCTTGCACAGCACCTTTGAAATTAACATCGCTTCAGTGTACTGTCGGAAAGCTGGCTTTTTCTAATGTTCATTACTCTGACAGTGCAGCAGAGCAGAGTCAATTTCAAAGGCTCCTGTTTCCCACACAGAAGTACTGTAAGCAGCCATGACAATAGCTCTTTGAAGAAAAGAGTCTGCCAGCAGGACAGGCAGACAGCTTGAGGTCATGTTTAAGCAGCCCCAAAATGGGGTATCTAAGGGAAAAAAGGAAGGGTCCAAGCTGAGAGAAGCCCCAAGTTAGGAATTGCCTTAAAAGGCTCCCCCTTACCCCAACTTGTAAACCCTTCTTCCCAAAAGAAGAGGCAGCAGTTGGAGTCTTTTACATCTGATGGGATTAGATACAATTGAAGCCCCTGAAAAATTCTGAAATAGCAGCAAAAAAGGACAACTAGAAAGGAAAGGCCCGTAATATGAGGTAGAATTCATTTTTAGATCTTTTAGCCACCCTCTACCCTAGAATGACTTGAACACTCATACAGAAGAGCAGATGATGAAAAGAGGCAAGGATTTTTGTGGGTGCTAACTTTTATTGGACCAATTGTATCTTTGGGATAGACCAAAGGCCAGGTACAGACATTACATTTTTACCAGTATAACTGATCAGAAGCTGGTCTTTACCTATAACAGAACAGAAGTTTGACACACACAACCTATCAATACCCATAACAGAACAGAAGTTCGGTGTGCACAGACTGGTTTAAAAATAGGTGAAATTGGTCTAAGATTTCCCCCCTCTCTCCACCCTTCCACCCTACCAAAGGGTGGGTGTGTGCTCTGTTCACTACCTAAGTAAACTATGCCGCATGCAAAAAGCCATGTAACATAAATTCCACCTGTGGTTTCTTGAATGGCTAGCCATAGACGCATTCAACAGCTTTTCTAAGTCCATCCCCAGCTTTTCTAAGTCTATCCCCATGCAGTTGGTCAAATAAAAGGTAGCACCCACAAAAATCCTTACCTCTCACATAATCCCTGGACCATCACAGCTACAACATCACTCCAACACTACCCAAAGATGAAAAGGAACTGAAATGGGTGTAGCATGGTGCTATGACTGGAAAAGGGCCTCTGTAGCTGAGGGTCATGGTTTGCAGGGGTGGATGATGACATTGGTCAGAATTGTTTGTTCTGTCTTAACTGATTAGAACTTTAAATCCAAGATACTTGCATCATTTTATAAAAACATGTTTGGTGGTATTAGACTGCTCCTCCAATTATTCACAGACAATTGAAAGATCAAGTTTTATGCAGAAAGTAAGATAATTTTTTGTCCACAATACATGTAATATTTTAGTTAACATGTCTTGGCATACAAGTTCCTACATTTTCAAATGAGATGCATCTGTGCTTTTCTTCTACAAGAATATGCATATAAAACCTCATATCATGCCACAAAAATGCCCTTTCAAGGAGTTTTCTGACTAATTTAACATAGTTTGACTAATGTAGAAAGTATTGGGTATCTATACATGTGCAGGGCAGGCATTTCCAAAGGTGTCGTAAATTTTGTGTTTTACTTAAAGTGTTTTAGCTACAGTTCCTTAAAACTTAATAGATGTTTCATGGCTTGGGTGTGAGTTTCGTGCCTTACTGTAGGTCTGTAGAGTAGGAGGCAGGGGGGCTGGATGCTGCAGCAATTAGTAATTACCACTTTGAAAAGCGCCAGTTAAATACACGTGCAATAAAGGCAAGCCATAGTTTGCCTTGCATTTAAAACACATACAACAAGGTTTAATTGCAACAACTTGCACCATTTAAAAATGTTTTAAAGCCACTCATGTCCATTAAGTGACAGCTTTAGAATGCTTTAAATGGTGAAAATCATCATGTGGGTAGGCACCTATTATTTTTTCTTCTTCTGGTAAGAACTGGTATGTTTTAGTTTTCTATCAGGACCCTTACTGGAAATGAGCATGCAGTGCGGCAGTGTGGGTGCCTTTCAGAGTCTAGGGTCTTTAGTTTGAAAGCTCTGTCTATTGGAAATTTCCCTTCTGGATTTCTGCCTTCCTTATGAGAGATGTTTCATCTGAGAACTATTCCTGCTTCCAAAGTTGCAGTTCCTCACCTGAGGAACCACAGCGGGATTCCACCATAGCCTCTCCATGCTAACCTCTTAGTCTATGAAACCAAATACATTACTTTTAATAAGATATATTTAGCCTTTGATTTAAGAGTCCTCATGAATGAATTTGCTTACTCTGTGGTGGTTAACACAGTTTTTCACTTCAGAAAATCAAAGACCTTCCTTCCTTCCCTCCCTTCTTGCTTCCCTCCCTCCATTCCTTCCCTCTCTCCCTTCTTCTTTTCTTCCCTCCTCCCTCCTTCCTTCCCTACCTTCCTTCTAATTTATGCTGATCTCAAATGAATTTTTTTTCTAATAAAGTACAAGCTAACAAAGCTGGAAAAATATTTTATCGTAAACATTAATATTTTTATGTAACAGACTTGGATATATCCAGTTTTAAAAAAATGATTTATTTTTCCTGTTACAACTAGTTAGACTTGGAATGTTGTTTTGGGAAAAGAATAATTAATAATCTACATAAGTGTGACATGGTGTGTTTAAGCCTGACATTCCTGTACTTTGACCAGTAAGGCTTACCTGGCTAATATAGTTCCTGTACTCAGAAATAATACAATCCTGAAGAATATTCCCTTCAGCTGATAATCAATTTATCTGTCAAATGACATTTGAAAAATGTGAGCAGAAATGTCCTACACTGTATTCAAGTGTGTAAGTTCAGTGAGACACTAGCTTCATTTTTACATCAGTGAAAGAAGACAATCAGATTATTTCAATAGGCTATGCAGGCCCAGATTCACAAAGGGTTTTAAGCTTAGCATGGCCATACCTAAATTTTAGGCATCAAGACTCAGGGAACTGAATTTACTAACTTGAGCTGAGCACCCCAGATGTCTGTAAAGTGGTTGCAGAGAGTTAAGAATCTAAGGATGGAATTCATAAAAGCCCATATGTAGCTTTTGAGTGAAGTTGGACCTGTCTAAGGCAGCTAATAGAAAATGGTGAGGAGAGGGGTATGTCTAAAAACCTGCCTTTGTCCTGGACTTAGCTGCTCACTGCAACCTCAGTTGGGTACATGGGTAAAAATGGGATTCACAACCCCAAATCTCTTCTTTCAGTTAGGTACCTAATCTATCCATTTGATTAGACAACTCTCTGATGCTTTTCTTTTAAAGTACAGCTCATAGCAGAAACTGTGCTACCACTTACACACTGCATTGAAACAATAGTCTAGTGAAAGGCTGTCTAACTAGGAGACTACAAGGGGTTAAATTGAAGGCCATGTGCTCCCACCTAAGCACAACTCCCACCATTGCTGTGGCTGCTCCTGCTGGGGTCACTGGGCTCCCCCTCAGACATCTGGCCTCAACATCTTGCTCCCCCATCCAAGGGGGAGGCAGGGCAGCGTGGTGCAATTTGGAGGGCTTAGGGAACCCATGGCTCAGGGGGCCCAGAGCCCCTACACAGCATGGAGACACCCACAGGGCATGTCTACATGAGATGATTACTGCAGTTGCTTAATTGGCTGCACAGTAGTCTCAATGTCTGCATGTTTGTCCCTATTAGACTGCAGTAAATTAATAAATGCTGCTGTAGGTTAGTACTTGTCAACACAAGTGCTGTCCTGCAGCAGCATTATTTATTGCACCGAAATGCACCAGGAGATGCTGACACAGCTGGCTGGCTGGGGCATGAGGCCGCTTCATTGTGGGGGCTGCCTGCCAGCTAGCTCTGTACTGGAGCACCCTCATGCCCCAGCCAGCCCCTCCACAGCACGTTGAGCCAGGGTGGAGCAGCTCTGGGCTGGCAAGCTGACCTTCCTTGTACCCTGCCAGTCAGAGCTGCTCTGACCTGGATCAACATGCTGCAGTCCTGGGTGCATGTGTAAATGCAGCTCCCACGAGCAATAAATTCCAGTGTGATCTGTGCCAGAATATATTGAATCATAGTAATAGCATGTATAGATGTGCTGACAGAGTACAACTCATTGGGGGTCATGTGGAACAGCTCATGATGGGGAGGGCACCAATAGCTTGGTGGGGAGGGGGAGGATGGAGGGAATGGTATGGTGGAAAGCCACATAGTGTGAAGCCCCTAGCTTCTCAGAAGTCAAAGAGCCCAGGTTTAGGGAACTTGACCAGGAAGTGGGGCCCCTGGGTTTAATGCCCTTTTCAGCTCCATAGCCACATATCCCATCTCCCAGGAGAGTACCCAGATGCTCCCCTTAAGTCAAGATGGCAGCTTGTGGTATTGCACAGTAACTGAACTTTAGATACCTAAGTAACTTTCCTAGTGAAAACTCTGCAAGCATCTACATACTGTCAGGTGCCCAAACAGGTGTTTAGGACTAAGCTCTTGTTACCAGTAGACATTTAGTAGCACTGTAGCCATTAAGACTTTCTTTGGATATAACCCATATTATGTAAACCAGTGGTGCCCAAATGTTCTGCTCCATGGGCTGGATGATTGGTGTAGATTGAGTTTTCAGGCCAGATACACTCCATGGCCCTGATCCAGCATGTGTGGGACCAGGGGCCAATCAGGTGCATGCTGGATTGGACCCTTGTCCCCCATGTCATATGGTGGCCATACCCATTCATTAACCATCAGCCCGTTGCCTCTCCCCCACCCCATGAACTGAATGAAGCCCTGGCCTCCATCCCCAGCCCATCACATTCAGGATCTGGCTCTGGGGTAAGATTTGAAGCTCATTTTGTGAACATCTAATAATAGTTATATACCATTAAATAAAAAGAAAATTACAAGCATACTACAGAGATGTACTTTACAGTATTTACACACACCTATACCTCATATAAATTACAGTTAAACTGCATTAAAGCATCCAGCTTTCTGGCATCCTTAGAAACAGTTAAATCTTTCTCTCTCCCCTCTCCCCCCCCCCCCCCCCCCCCCCCCCCCCACCATCTTTTTTTTTTTTTTTTTTATTAAAATATTTT